CTTATGTATGAAAATGAGCTGCCCCTGTATGTCCCCCCACCAGACGCAGTGTGATGCGTGCGCTGCTGCTGCTGCTGCTGCTGTTGCTGCTGCTGCTGGTGTTGGTGCTGCTGCTGACGCTGCTGAGCATGCATAGGCTGCTGGTAGTTCTGGTGCTGCTGCTGCGCAGGAACAGCCTTCGGCCCCCCCCTTGAGGCCCCATCCGAGATACTCATCATGCTGCTGCTGCTGCTGCTGCTGCTGCTGCTGCTGCTGTAGTCGAAGCTATCTGCTGCAGCAGGCAGCTGCCTGCCCCCCATGCTGCGATGATAGGAGAGAGGGTCTGGTGGCTGGCGGTAGTGTGTGGGTGCCTTGTTGCTGCTGGCTGCTGCTGCTGCTGCTGCTGCTGCTGCAGCAGCAGCTGCTGCTGCTGCTGCTGAAGCTGCTGCTGCTGCTGCTGGCTGCTGCGCCGGGAGACTGTGCCACACCGGGGGCTGCAGCGGCGGGGAGACGAAGTGTGGTGCTGCTAGAACGCGGGGGTAAGCCCAGTGCTGCTGCTGCTGCTGCTGCTGCTGCTGCAGCTGCTGCTGCTGCTGCTGCTGTCTGTATACCGCAGCGAGATCAGCAGGAGGCATCAGGTGCCGCTGCAGCTCAGGGGCCCCCGAGGGGCCCCTAGGACCTAGGCCTTGAGGGGGGGGCCCCTGCAGCAGCTGGTGCTGCTGCTGCTGTTGCTGCTGCATTGTGCTGCAGACAGGTTGCTGCTGCTGCTGTTCCTGCTGCTGCTGCTGCTGCTGCTGTCCGTGTGCGCGGAGGCCCTCCAACAAGCCAAGGCCGATGCTGTAACATTGACAAGAAAGCTGCTGCTGCTGCTGCTGCTGCTGCTGCTGTTGCTGCTGCTGCTGCTGTTGCTGCTGTTGCTGCTTCTGTACGGGCTATACCAATGCAATATTTGCTTCCTCTGCAGCAGCAGCAGCAGCAGCAGAGGAAGCAGCAGCAGCAGCAGCTGCTGCTGCTGCTGCTGCAGACTGTGGAGGCAGCCAGAGGTCCCCCCCCGCTCTCCTTTTGCTGCTGAGGGGAGACAGTTGCTGCTGCTGACGAGATAAAGAAAAAAATGTAAACAGGCCGGCACAAATAGCTGCTGTTGCTGCTGCATGTATCAGCAGCAGCAGCAGCAGCAGCAGCAGCCGCTGCTGCTGCTGTTGCTGCATGCGGGGCTGGTGTTGCTGCTGCTGGCCTTGCAGTGGTCCTTCTGCTGCTGCTGCTGCTGCTGCTGCTGCAGTGCATGCAGGGGCTGCCTTTTGCTGCAGTGTGTAATTAATTTCGATTAAATAAGATTCTGAAAAAACACACAGCAGCAGCTGCTACCGCTGCAGCAGCAGCAGCAGCAGCAGCAGCAGCAGCAGCAGCAGCAGCAGCGCCACCCGGTCTCAGGGGGTCACTCCCCCCTGCCTATACACCCCAGGGGGCCCCCCAGCGATCAGCACAGGGGCCCCTCGCTACTATAACAAGTGCATTGCTGCTGTTGTTAAGGCTTTAGGGTTTAGGGTTTAGGGTTTAGGGTTTAGGGTTTTGTTGGGTGGTGGACATAGGGTTTAGGGTTTAGGGTCTAGGGTTTAGGGTTTAGGGTTTAGGGTTTAGGGTTTACAGCCGCTCCCTCTCCTTCCTTGGTACCTGCAGCATGTGGCGCTGCTCCCGCACAAAGTAGATAAAGCAACAGCAGCAGCAGCAGCAGCAGCAGCAACGGGGGCACAACAACAGCAGCAGAGGGAGCAGCAGCAGCAGCAGCAGCAGCAGCGGCGACAACAACAGCAGCAGCAGCGGCAGCACCGCAGCAGCGGTGGCAGCAGCAGCTAAAAAGGCGGCACACCAGTAGCAGCAGCAGCAGCGGCATCAGCAGCAGCAGCAGCAGCAGCATCAGCAGCAGCAGCAGCAGCAGCAGCAGCTGCAGCAGCGGCGACAACAACAACTACAGCAGCAGTCGGGACAGTAGTAGCAGCAGCAACAACAGCAGCAGCCGCAGCAACAGCTGCAGCAGGAGGAGCAGCAGCTGCTGCAGCAGCAGTAGCAGCAACAGGAGCAGCAGCAGGTGCAGCAGCAGCAGCAGCAGCAGCAGCAGCAGCTGGTTGTTGCAGCATTGTCTTTAGTATACTTTTCTTTTTGCTGCTGTTATGAGTGAGTCTACTGGCAAGGCGAGCTCTCTGACAGCTGCAGCAGCAGCAGCAGCAGCAGCTGCTGCAGCAGCAGCAGCAGCAGCAGCAGCAGCAGGAGAGGGTGAAGACGACGTGCATGTGGAGCTATCGGACTGGGAGACAGACAATGAGGTGTCTCTGCTGCTGCAGCGCATGCAGCAGCATCGACAGCAGCTGCTGCAGCAGGGAAAAATAAAAAAAAAAAGAAAAACTGCTGCTGCTTTTGCTGCTGTTGATGTGGGGTGGGTGCTGGGATCCGATCCCAGGCGGGGATACGACTCCCTCACCACCGACGAGAAAGCAGCATTTCTCTCTCTTAAACACTTTCGTCTCTCCTCATCGTCAGCCTGCTGCTGCTGCTGCTGCTGCTCCTGCTGCTGCTGCTGCTGGTTCTGCTGCTCCTGCTGCTGGTTCTGCTGCTGCTGCTGCTGCTGTTGAGTGCTGCTGCTGCTGCTGCTGCTGTCGAGTGCTGCTGCTGCAGTCTGCTGTTGCTAGCTGCTGCTGCTGCTGCTGCTCTCGACTGCTGCGGCTGTCGTCTGCTGCTGCTGCTGCTGTTTCTTGCTGCTGCTGCTGCTGTCTCCTGCTGCTGCTGTCTCCTGCTGCTGCTATCCACTTCTGTTGCTGTCTCCTCTCTCCCTAACTATTTTGTTTATTAT